CTTCCAAACCGCTGGATTTACGGGAAAATTGCATAAGACCTTTTTTGTAGAGGACGACGAGATCTACAATTTCCATATAAAACTTTTTAGCTAGCGTTAATAGTTTATGAGTAATTTGCGAAAAACTGTTTTTTCGTTTTTCGTTAATAACTCGTAAACTATTGATGCTAGCGGAAAAAATTTACATGGAAATTCTAGATCTCGTCGTCCTCTACAAAAAAGGTCTTATGCAATTTTCCCGTAAATCCAGCGGTTTAGGAGTTATTGAAGAAAAACAAAATTTTTTGTCACAAGTTCGCCATTTCGACGCTGGGATGGTCGGATTTTGTCAACATCAATAAAATGCCATATAATCATACTTAACTCGTTAAATACTGAAATTAGAAGAAAAATGCATAGAATTTTTCTTGTCATGTCCTTTTGGGATTGACTGTATAGCCAATACATCCTTAACCGATCCGAATTTCTATACGAGTATGTAATTTGGTGTCGCCTCGGAAGATACGTGACTGCGCAAGCGGTTGGAAAAATTTTTCAGTCCTCGCCAACGACGACAAAGTCCGATGATTAACTGCTCGGCCATAACGAGCGCATCGGTCCTACTTAATTAGAGATGGGGTAATTTATGCGGCAAACGTGTTCTACGCACACTCCAGCGACACTCTTTTCTTCTTTTGTTAGCGACGCCCTCCGCTCTTCTATTTTTCATCCGTTAATTGTTTCGTCCCCTTAAAGAAGTGCAATAAATTCTTGTCCCGCAAATTTAAATCAGCTATTTTTTTTATTCCAAGGAGCAGTCACGTCCTGCAAAAAGTTAAATCATCAGGTTTCAATGTCTGAAAGGATTGGTTCTATTATTTGTTTTCTTTGTAGTAGATATTCTAAAGTAAAAAAGTACAGAGGAAGCTTGACGGGATTCGCGGAGTTTCACTTGTATCGGGTATACTACTTTTCCTTAAGAGCCAGTGTACAGATTTTATCCGATAGAAAGGCAGCTTCCGGTATTGTTTGTTAGAATATCGGAGCTATGTTTGCACTTTATCAAATTTATCAATTGCCATATTGGACTGTCGATCAATTTTATTTCAAAAATAATATCGTGTCAGATTACTCTTACCGTAAACAATGATACGAAAAGCTATTTCTATTGAACTATTGCTGTCGAGTTCGTTTTAAGGAAGCAAACAACTAAAAATAAACTTCGAAGACGTGAAGAACTTCTTCGGAGCTTAGCCGAATCTCAAGCCGTATAGTTAGAGCTGGAAATAAGTCAATCGAATCGTAATTCCACTCGTCTAGCCCGATTTTTTCCCGAACGCTGGCAGCATCGGATCGATCTTTCTCGTAGCGGCAGATCTCTTTCCGAAATCGCTTTTCCAAACGGCGACTGCCTACCTACATCTAGCTAGCTACCGATAATTGATTTTACAAGTTCGAAAGCGCGGGCGGACGGAAAGCTTTTCACTCTGTTTGTAAATCGTCGACCGAGAACGTGTGAACGATAGATCGCGAAACTTTTGTCGAGCTCGCGCGGAGCTCATATCGACGAACGTTTTCTCAAGCACTGGAGGCGCGGGTAGAAATGTAATATTTGTTCCGTCGTGATTCGCGAACGTTACGTGAAGAGGAACCTATGATCGATCGCCATTGTTTGGCAACCTGCGATTTAAATTAAATTCGATTTCGTTGGATTTACCCTCGGTCTGAAATTCGTGCCTCAGACTTTAAAATAGTTCTCCCCACCCCCGCCTCGTTTCCGTTGCTTGTTTGCTCAGAAAGAAACGGTAAGGAAATATTTCAGTTCAATTGAACAGTCACTAAAAAAGTGAGGGTGTCAGAAAATTTCAATTTATCGAGTATCAGTTTGATAAAACGTTATAAATAGTATACACGCGTTTCTCGTTTTCGTCACGGGGAGGGAACGCGGCTGACGCATTTGAATTTCGACACGGTTCCGATTCTGATTCTCATCTCCGTTCGCCGGCTTTCACGTTCGCCCATTTGTCTTCGTAGCCACGGTAACTTTGTTAGGACACGTTTGGCGGTGGATAGCTAGGCGGGCAGGATCCAGGCAGTTCGCCACTGCTATTTTTATCGAGAATGCCGGCTCAACCGGAATTCAAGTAGCTAGGTAAATTTCTACTATACGAGTCGTACATGGCTCGAGATTGCACGGAATGCAGTTCAATTGAATTTTAGTTAGAGCCCCGTCTGTTTCGCGATCGATATCGTTCATCATAGGATGGGTGTAGGTTTGAGCACGATTGAGGCAAACTGAGGCCAAATGAGTGATGTTCATTCAACGTCCAGCCGATTTGCTGGCCTCCGCTCTATTCGTGCGTTGGCAGTTTCGCAGAAAGCTCGAACAGTGAATAAATAAGAAAATCAGTCGACATTGACGAGGATAAAATAAAATAAGATAATAAGTCACAGCTGTCTAGACGTGCATTGGGCGTTTCACTATCCTCGAAAAATATGCCAGGGCGGCAGACAAATACGAATTCACTTCCCTCCGTTTCGATTCCTCCAGTGTTAAAAACGAATGCAGGGTAATCGGGTTTGATGTGAAATGAGGTTGCACCATTTTTACTGCTTTTTGTTCCCGCATTGATGCATGAAATATTGAGGAGCTCGGGCAAGTGAGTTTTCCGGAATATCGAGGGCTATTCAGCGATCTCTCATTTTGAACGACGTACCCTCCTTACGGGTACAGCGTCTTCCTCAAGTGCGAGTGTCCATTGATAAAGCGTATTAAAATGAAAAAAGAACCTTTCAACCGTACATTCAGCAATATTTCCTGATATTTCCGCTATTTACGTCGAGGCAACCTCTCGACCATGATTGCACGAATTATCATGGTCATATTAATCGAAGTCGTCGAACTTGGAATATTCTCTTTACTATTAAAAAAATTGATTAAAATTTCATTAAGCGTTATTTTAATACATAGAAAATGTGGTTCTAGTTGCATGTCTTAGGTATCTCCCGAATTTCAGCTCATCAGAAATGCTCTGACATGCTCTTTAGTTATGAGATCTGGTTCACTTTGTCTCGCGGTCGTCCAGAACGACTCCGTCCCTAATAATGGTTGCTGCAGCAACGCGAATATTCGCCGCATCTACGAATTCGCCTTGCATACCGTTAAATGGCTACAGTATCAGTAAGTAATCATATAATGTGGCAGTGCATAGCGGCAGCGAGTATCTGTGTCTGTGGTAGCCTCAGTGCTCGAATGCCACGGGAATTCGAACAGCGTAAATTAAATATAATTGGATACACAAGCTAAGCATCGAAACACATCGGGAGAAGTCGTCGCGCAAGCAATTCTGAAAGATTGACTATTTATAAAATATTCAGTTTTCATTCATTTTAGTATGTGAATATTGTTCTTATTCTCCTATTCGAAGTACAGTTTTACTAAAACTATTCATGTGTTATACGTTTTACCACGTTTCATTGCAATCTTTTATTTGAGATATTCTGTGATGGTTACGTTGGAATATTTCATTT